TTCTGAAATAAGAAATATCTGGTGAAGTACTAGGTGTAACGCAAACTAACACAGCACAAGCAAGCAGTTCATCACATTATGCGAAACTAAAAGGGCAAAATCAAAAGCAGTAGCTTCTATTGTAACAGTCAGTCAGTAACGTGGTTTGTAAAAAACACATTACATCTGTCTATTTTTTAAATGTGTAGCTTAATATTGATATTTTTGAAATGTTAAATATAAATCAGAAAACATCGAATGTACAGCGTTGCCTTGGGAACCTTTTCTTTCTTTTTCTTTTTGTTTTTTTCCAATTTCTGAAGTTTTTATAATACAAACTCTGCAAAGTTAAGGTAGCATTACCCCAGTCTTTGGGTATATATAATACAAACTGCTTGAACTTCTGGGACAGCAGCTATTTCTATGGATACAGTATGTTGAACAGACATGGAACAAAGAAAACCAAAACAGTTGGTTCTCTGCTGTCAAGGAAACAAGCTGCTCTTTCTGCTTAAATATCTCTTACCAAAACTAGGAGGAAAAAATCCTCCAAAACTTGAGTTTGCACTTAAAAAGAAGAAATCTGACGTACAGACACTGGAATAAATGTATTTTCAAATATTTCAGTAGGGGGTATTGTTATGTTTGGTGTAGGTAAATAAACAGAACTCCCTGAAAGCCTCTAAGGCTAAGGTTATTCTTAAAGGTAAATATTAAATTATTTCTTTTGAGAATAGTAGGAGTCCATAAAGAAAATAAGAAAACGTTGTGCAGGGTTCTGGTTTTTATGCTGTACTTAGGTCAAATTCGCTTATTCGTGCTCCTGTCTTCCCCTTCTTTTTCCTTTTTTTTAATATATATATATACCTATTCAAGCCTTTAGGAACTTTGTGGTTTAAAATAATGAAAACTAAACCTCATATTTGTTCAAACACAGAAAATTTTAGTGGGTATTTTTCTGTCAGAAGTATTAAAAAGTGTACTGAATAAAATTTCTTCATTTGATAAACAGGAAAAACGAAGATTCACGTATGCGTTCTATATGACATGTCCAATATACAAACAAAATAAAAGACAGCAGCTACTCAGAAACATGCTTAAGGTGACATGAAAGAAAGGGGTTACAGGAAAAAATTAAATTACTCATAACACTTTTACAATCTTGGCATCACCTCCTGGTGAGTGACATTCTGGTTCTGGTTGGAATAAGCTTCATCTTGAGCTCCTGCACAGCTCTCAGCAAAGCACCACACTAGGAAAGAGGTCTCTTCTAAGACAGAAAAATACCCTAGGAAAAAGGTCTGAGACATATCACATAAGCTCACAGCATTTCTAGATGTATAAGTACACTGAAAATTCCCAGCTAGCTTTGAAACAAGTTCACAGACACGAATCCTTGCCTGTTCACAACACCATTTCTAATTTGAATGAGGGAACACAAATGAGGTTGAAGGTAAATGATCTGTTGAGTTAAAATTGGCTTTGTTTATGGGCCACACAGACTTTCTCTGGCAGGTTCCATAACACCGCTTGCGGGCTTACATGTACGATGTCTGGATACTAAGTGTCCTCCCAGCAATGGGTACTCTACATGGCACATGTTCTTATCTCCCAGTAATGGAAAATCAGTACTTCAGCCTTCTGTGAGCAGGACTCAGTGTAAACCCTATCATTGTACTCTTCTTGAGGGCTAGGAGCTGTAAAGGAACCTGGGTGTGTAAAGGAATCTTGTGTCCAGAGATAGCACCTGCCTTGGAAGGAAGGAAGTTACACAGAAGTTCAGTGGTTCAGTGGTTCAAGTGGTTAAGGCTGATTTTGAAGAGAATCGTAATGAAGATGCCTGAGTCTTATGAAAAGTGGCCAGAAGTGAGTCCTTTGCCTAGGTATTCTTGTCTGCTATGTTAGCTTTGTTTGTCTTGTAGGCAAGGCATTAGGCTAGAATTAGTTTTTAGAGTGTTTGTCTTGAGAAAAGGCTGTGAAACATTTTAAAAATACAACCCTTAAGGAACAAGAAACTGATAGATTCAAAAGGCATACTCCAAAATGTCGTTAAAGATGCTACATACAACCCCACTAAAATAAGAATTACTACTGAAGACCTAGTACTCATCCATAATTAACTTCACAGTGTCTTCTTCACAAGTGCATGGATTATAAAATGTTGTATAGTAACCTTCTTATATTTGAATTTTTTGGCTTTTCTTGCTTTGTTTAGACACTATTGTAGCAGAAAAGAGGAGTGGGTTTCTGGGGGAGGGCTAGTTTGTACACTTGTGAATATTTGAGCTGTGTTTAATCGTCCTCATGTGTGAAATCCTTTATTAAAAAAAAAATCAGTTTATCTGATACTTACTGCTCTTTAGTACAGCACAGCTTGGTAGCACTAGGTACGTCTTGTTGAAAGTATGTCCATAAATATGTCCCTTGCAGCACAGAACAGCTTGTTAACTTGGCAATCCTCAGCAATTTGCTTTGAAAAGTTTGCCTCAGTTTTGATAGTCCAAATGTAGGGCAAAAAACTCGGAGTAACTTTTTTAACTAATTTTACCAATTGACACTTTCTTCCCAGTTTTAACTGCCTGTTTACTAGAACAGAGAGCACAGTGTTTCTTCAACCTCATTCAATACGCTTTTTTTGCAAGGTTTTACTATTTTCAGTGGGCTGGAGCTACTGATTTTCTGTTTTCCTAATGTACAACCTAAAAATCCATTATCTTCAGAAAGCATTCTACAGTCTTAGCTATATATATAAACCTGGTGCCAGTATTATATAGTGATGGTATTACTACAAATTTGCAATGCTGTCAATCTAAAGAGAATTACAAAAGTGGGCAAATGCTATCTGTCCCTATGTCACAGGCAGAATAAGTGGGGCAGAGAGAGAGCAAGTAAATTGACCAGTACCCAAAGGCTACAAAGGATCAGCAGCCTTGAGAGAAGAACAGATTTTTGCATGGCTGGTGCTGTCGTGAATTTCTGCACTCCTTTGTTTTAGCAACACTTTTGGCTAGCTTTGATGGATATCCTTTGTAATGGGAGAATGCAAGTGGGATGCCTATGCTACTTCTATACCAGATACATTAGGCTGGCTTATGGGAGAAACCCTGAAGTGAAAACTCTTGAGTTTATGTTCTAATTTAGTCACATGAAGACTGTGATTGGAGGTACTTCAAAGTGGGTTACAATGGTTAACTAAGTGAAAGATAATATCCCTTTGCCATTACTGTCTAGTAGGTCTCATTACTCCTCTGGGCATGCTCCTTAGAATAAATTAAAAGGATCCACTGAGAACCATTTTGCTTTGGGTTTTTTTTTAATGATTGCCCAAAGCCATTTGCTAGAATAGTACAGAATGTTTACAGATGCCTTAGGAAGAAAACAGCAGAATGTGGAACTAATTGTGTTTATTCAAGATAATTATGAAACACAAATGACCATTACTTACAACAAGTCCCCTGACAGCTAGAGTTTGACTCGTGGGGCCAGGATCAAACTCAGAAAGGAAAGGCCTTAATGTTAAGTTACACTGTCCATATGGACACCATGTATCAGCACTAGCTCTTGCAGTTCTTGCTCTCTCCCAGTGCTCTTCTACCCAACTTGTGCTCAGTACAGAATAAGCACGGCTGCTAACTCTGAAGAGGAAAGGCAGGTGGAAATGAGTACTTCAGAAGGAAGATCTTGTTGGGGTGAGAAGCTCTGAGAAATGCAACCACAGACTCTTCTGGCATTTGAAGTAGAAGTTCTGTCATAGGAAAACAAACTAGCTTTGCTGCACCCGTAATGGCATTTAATCTCATCAAAGGATAGGATACATAAAGCAAATTTAAAGACACGACTATTAATTCCAGTGTAAAGAACGATGATAATATTCACTGCATCTGTGTTCATCCCAAAATGGTTTGTCAAGCCATCCCTATATAGACATGTAAAACTGGTTATACATACTTCTTTCTTGCATAAGAGAAAAAGTGGAGTGCAATGCAGAAATTGCATAAATGTACGTGGAGAAGAAAAATTGTGGAAAATTTAACAGTAAGAAAGTTTTAATAAAATGGATGCTAGATGAAGGGAGCTAAATATAATCTGATACCCTGTTTGTATTGTTGTTTTTTTTTTTTTTATGAGACACTGACATGTATTTTTTTAATTGATCTGGGAGGTTTTCTCTAATAATACTCAAATGGTCAATATTGTCATTGCAGTTTAATTTCATTTACTTCATTCTTACTGCTGTTGTAGTTAAATTGTTTTTGCTTTGGACAAAAAAAAATGAGATATTTAGACTACCAAAAAATTTATTAACATGTGGTTCTCATACAGAGAGGTCATTTATATTTTTAACAGTGTGAAAACATGATGCAGGCTGTACTGCTTTTGTTGATTTCATTTTCTGGCAACATACAGAAAATCCAAAGCTCAGCAATGTCCAAAGGAGAAAACAGCAAGTTCTTTATTGACTTTGGATCTTGTTTGCCCATATGGATGAGAACACACCTTGGTAAAATCCTGGCCGTTAAATCACTGTGAGTTTTGGTTCAATGGTTACTTAACATACCATGCATGTAACTTATGTTGAATGTTATAAATCAGCATTCAGTGTAGATTTCAAAATTCCAGGGAAAAGGATGTTAGAACTAGCACACTAATACAGAATTGTTGATGAGGGTTGAAAGCCACCAGCAAATAAATTGTGACTGAAAAATGCCAGCAGCTCAAGGGGAATAGAAATGGTCTCAGGACATAGGTTGGATCTTAGCAGTCTGGGTCCCTGTTAAGTTCCCGTGTTTCAGTCTTAGTGCTTTTTCCTGGGAAAGAAAATCTCCACTTAGCTCAGTGTTTAATATGGCCAGAAGAAATTGGACCGAGATCTGAAATTAATTGTTAAAAAATTTACAGATGGTTTATCACACCTCCTGTGGCTGTTCAATTTCTGAAGTAAGTAATAGTAAGTGTACTCATATTCAGTAATGAACCCCTCATTGTCATTGTTTTTCCTTGCCCTTTTCTTTCTTCTCAAGGTACTGCCAAGACCGCAGGCTGTTTCCAGAACCCCCAGGTATGTGCTGAGGCCAGGCAGGAGGGACCCACCATGAACAGGAGTCAATTCCCTGGGGGAGAAAAAGAATTTTGAAGGAACAAAAAGGACTGCCAACCAAGACCTTGCCCGTCCTGGGGAGCAGGCGCAGGCACTCGTCAGCTGTTTGGGGGCATGGCTGTGAGAGAGAACAGCAGGAGAGCTAGCTCCAACAGCAATGTCCATGTACTGCTGGTGTCCAGGGAAGAGCCCCAGCAAGGTCCCCTCCACCTTCCACTAGGCTCACAGCAGAACCAGAGACTTCTCTGTGTGTGAATGAGTCCACGTTTTTTCAGGTGGACTGAAGTGATTTGTGGTCCTGGGGGGAATTTGGTGGCTATATTTTTGTCTTTTAAAAGAAGCAGGGAATTAGAAGAATTCATATTTTTTTTTACGGTAAGATTTCTGCTTTGAATTTTTTCATCTAATGAGTGATAGAGCTATAAGAAGGCAAACTGATTTTTAAAGGACTCGGAAGAAACTCAGAATGAAATTTAACATATGTGTCAAGTAAAAAACTTTGATAGAGTTTTTCATTTAATAGCTTTAAATAATGTTTTTACTTAGACCCAAATCTACGTTTTCTCATTGATTTTTCGGTTCAGCCAGTTTACACTGGAGGGTCAGTCCCTCCTGGTGACAACTCTTTTCACTGAATGCTACAAGGACCACTCTGTGCCGAGTTCACCAGATCCCCAGACCACGTTTTTAGCCAGAAGGAAGCCTTACCACTGCCCTATGAGTACAATGCCTTTTTTTATCACTACAGGTATAGGCTGAAGGGATATGTGAGGAAAAGGAGGTGGAGAAGCAGAAGGCAAATAGTATCCTGGGATGAGCAGTTTATACTAGTGAGAGCTCCTTGGATCTCTTGTCCAGTGCATGTGGGCAAGGAAAAGAATGGGAATTAATTTAACGGGAGCTGCAAAATAAGAACAATAAAAAATTAATAGTAAAGCTTGTCAAAATCTCCTGATCTCTTAGGAAAGTAGACCCACAGCCTAGTGAGCTTTATCTCTAAGTGCACATTTGAGAAGCCTGACTTCTCAGAGGTGGCGGTAAACAGCTTTTAGTGATGGCATTTAACTGAGCAGAACTGGAGAGAAAAGGACCTTTGCTTGCCTTCCTTTCCTTGATGGTCGTACCCCATAAAGGGTTAATGAACAGCCCGCCAGCTGCCAGGCCCCTGTAAGCACCCTGCTCTCCTCTTGGCCGCCAGCTGATCCCCTCACCAAGCAGCCAAGGTGAGAGTTCACACACAGAGGTGGATGAGGTTAAAGATAATAAGAGTCTAAACATCCACAGGGAGTTCAGCTCATGTACAAAGTCATAATTACATAAGCCATTACCATTGCCCGGGTGAAAAGAAATCACTGCAAGCAGGGGCAGAAACCATTTGCAAAGACAGACTTAAGAAGCAAGGATGGAAAATATCAGCCTTTCTCCAGTGGATGCACTGTGGCTTTAGCAAGGCTATAAAATGAGAATTGTTTGGTTATTCAAGTAGAAACCTGTTAAATGGATAACCTTGTTGCAACAATTTCCGTTTTTTTTAGCAGGTCTTTTCTTTCAACAGGTATTGATTCAAGCAGCCTCTGCTATTTTTATCAAATGCATTTTAGAACCACAGAAAATGCCACTGAGGATTTAAATCCGGAGTAAGCTACAGACACAGTGTTTGTAGTACACTGCTTGCTGCTTTCACAAGTTGGACAAACCTCATACATTATGGGCCAAATTATGCCCTTGGATGAGTATGCCTGATTCCCACTGCTGTCAATGTGGCTGTCATAGAAATCTGTGGGAGACCAGCTTGTGCATCCAAAGAGGAATCTGGCCTAAAATCTATTGTGCTCATATTTCTTGTTACTTAGATATTTCTTATGTCTGCCTAACTCACTCTCTTTTTTGTCAAGATAAACACATTTAAAGATATTCTTAGGAAAAAAAAGAATAGATAAAAGACCTCTAGTGCTACATTGTTTTGTTTGTGTGTCTGACTGTAATTAATGGATGCTCTTTACCTAAGGTTTCCTTTTAAAGTCCCATATAGGTGGGTTTATAGAAATCTAGTGTTTCTGCAGCCTTTTGAGTTTTGGACAGGCCTGGCTGATACCCCCTAAGAAGTGAGAAAACGTGGTCATTTCACCCCAAATATTACTCTGCCAATTCTCAGCTGCATATCAGTGCTGCCCTCCCCAGAGAAAATACCTAACCCAAGCCATTCAGGAAACATTCTGCAGCCTCCATGATGCAGGAGCATCTCCCTTCTTCACTCAGGTGGCTTACAAGGAAAAGACAGTTTTGGGCTGGGTAGCCCACATGAAACTCATACCTTGTGGATTGCCCATGGGTACTATTGTGCTATAACAAGGCTGCATGGATGACAGCAGGAAGGATAGAGCTAAGTGACAGCTCCTCTGGAGGTATTCCCACAGGTCCCTCCGAATGTCTCAAGGTGTCCCTGATACCTCTGTGAGATGGATATCAAGCTCAAGATTTACTCCTCTTTGCACAGTTGCTTTGAATTTATTTTATTCCTAGGCAGCTAGTTGGAGTGGTAAATTTTTATATGCATTCAACATTGTCATAGTCATATCTTGCCTGAGGGCATATTGATCCTTGTTACCATATTGACTTGATGCTTCTACATCTGCCAGCAATAGGTCTACACTTTTTTTTTTCTACAAAGATTGCACGTTTTCCTTCCCCTGCCCCAAATCTCCTTCCAAAGTCTCCTTTTATTCAGGTTAAGCACTTCCTTCTTTTCTTTTTTTTTTTCATGCATATTTTTAAATGTGATGTGCCCATGTTTTCTCAGGTAAAGGTTGTGCAATTGTGGTTTAAACTAGCAACAAAGACAGCAACCAAGCACCACACAGCTACTTGCTCATTCCCCTCAAAGTTGGTTGGGAGAGAGAATTGGAAGGGTAAAAGTGAGAAAACTCATGGGTTGAGAGGAAGACAGTTTAATAGGTAAAGCAAAAGCTGTGCACACAAGCAAAACAAAACAAGGAATTCATTCACCCCTACCCATCAGAAGGCAGGTGTTCAGCCATACCCAGGAAAGCAGGGCTCCAACACACATAATGGTTACTTGGAAGACAAAACCATCACTTCCAACATCCCTCTTTCCTTCTTCTTCCCCAGTTTTATATGCTGAGCATGGAATCATATGGTATGGAATATCCCTCTAGGGTCAGCTGTGCTGTCTCTGTGCCCTCCCAATTCCTTGTGCACCCCCAACCTACTTGCTGGTGGGGTGGTATGAGGAACAGAAAAGACCTTGGCTTTATGGAAATACTGCTCAGCAGGAATTTAAACATCCCTGTGTTATTGATGTTGTTTTCAGCACAGACCCAAAACACAGACCCATAATAGCTCCCATGAAGAAAGTTAACTTTATCTCAGTCAAAATCAGCATTATCTCCACCCCTTATTCTATACCATTTATGTTGTGCTCAGGTCCCACACTAATACATCATAATTAAACATCACATTTCTTCCCATCTTTTGATAGAATACACAGATATCGTTCCCCTAGTCTATGGACTACTCCCATAAAATGTCTGCAAAATGTTCAGAAATATCCACAAAATGTCCACTGAGTGCAGCCATCACTGACCTGACCTGGTTTTGGTACCCTGTAACTCCATGCAGCACACTTCCGCTACTGTCATGAGTGACCACTGTAACAGATGGAGCCCAAGGTCATGGACTAAATGAACTCAGTGTACCTTCTCCAGTGTGGACTTATTCTTGGGCTGCAGTCCCTTCAGAGGTATACCTGCTATGGCCCAGACATCACCAAGGCCAACAACGCTTTGAGAGGTACCTGCTCTGGCATGGGCTAATTCATGGCCAAAGACACTTCAGGGTGTCCTGCTCACACATGGACTCATCCACAAGTCATAGTCACTTTGACCTGGGTTCATACTGGAGTTCCAACCTGTCCAGTACAGCAGTACAGCAGCACAGTAGCACAGGAGCAGTAGTGATGGCCTGGCCATCTGCCCGCCCAGGAAAATCACTGGTTTTTTGGTAACATTGCTAATATCAAAATGTTCCCAGGCACAGCAGAGCGAGATGATAAGAACTACAGCAGTACAGCAGGCAGCAAAAGCAAAAAGCAGCCACTAACAACCACTAGATTCTAACATACAGTAAGGCAAGCAAGTCTTATGACAAGCACAGGAGCCTGTCAGCTACAAGCTAAACAGCAGTAACAGCTATAAATTTAATCTAGCACATTCCAGTCAATTCTGTTACCTTGAACCCCTTGAGCCCTATGCTGGGTGCCAAAAGGGACTGTCGTGGTTTAACTGGCAACTAAGCACCATGCAGCCACTTGCTCACTCCCCTCAAGTGAGATGGGGAAGGGAATCAGAATGGTAACAGTGAGGAAACTTGTGAATTGAGACAAAGACAACCAGATTAATAGGTAAAGCAAAAGCCATACACACAAAAAAAAGCAAAATGAAGAATTCATTCACCACTTCCCAGGGGCAGTCAGGTGTTCCGCCATCTCCAGGAAATCAGGGCTCCATCACACCTAACCCTAACCCTTTCCTTTTTCTTCCCCCAGCCTCTTAGGCTGAGCGTGGAGTCATGCAGTGTGGAATATCCCTCTAGTTGGCTGAAGTCAGCTGTCCCGGCTGTGTCCCCTCCCAGCTCCTCATGCACCCACTAGTCACTGGTGGGGTGTGTGAGAAGCAGAAAAAACATTGACTCTGTATAAGCACTGCTCAGCAATAATGAAAACATTCCTCTATTATCAACACTGTTTTCAGCACAAATATAGATTGTAGACCCATAGTAGCTCCTATGAAGAAAATTAACTTTATCCCAGCCAAAACCAGCACGGCAATCTTTAATGAAAAGAAAGGGTTGAAGATGAATTGGCAGCAGAACTTCTTTTCTAAATTATAAATTGTCGTGGTTTAAACATGAACACAGAAAACATGTTTTGTATTTCCAGAGTGAAAGAAACAAAGCAAAGGGAAAGTTACCTGTTCATTTATAATTAAATCACTAAGAATAGCAGAGCAGCAACAAATTGGTCCTTGGCAACAGATATGCTTGCAGCAGGAGAATGGCCACTGCAATATCTTATTTTCTTGTTTCTCCAAACAATTTCAACTACAAAGGTCACTAACCAAAGGCAGATGCTAAAGTGGGTCCAAAATAGTTTTTGCTTAACTTCTAGCATTTACTTAACTGATTACTAGTTACAAATCTGACACACGGCAGACATAACAGTGCTCTCAAGGAGATTAAAGGATTAGTCACTCACTAGCTTAATCAGATTAATCAGAGATTTTGAAC